TGGAGCTGCTTCTGCCCCTGTGCTCGGCGCTGGTCGCCGCCCCGCGAATCCTGTGTTCACTACCAGGACATGGAAGTGCTGGAACGTGTCCGGAGAAGGCAGCAGAGCTGGGGAAGGGGCTGGAGCACAGGAGGAGCGGCTGAGGGAGCCGGGGTGGTTCAGTCTGGAGGAGGCCTCATGGCCCTCTGCAGCTGCCTGAGAGCAGGTTGCAACGAGGCCCGGATCGATCTCTTGTCCACAATACTGCCAAAAGCACTAGAGGAAACGGTCTCAGGTTGCACCTGGGGAGGCTCAAGTTAGACATTAGGAAGGATTTCTACGTAGAAAGAGTGGTTAAGCTGTGGAATAGGCTGCCCAGGGACGTGGCGGAGTCACCGTCCCTGGCAGTGCTCAAGAGACGTGTGGATGAGGTACCTAGGGACATGGTCTAGCAGGCAGGTGAGGATGGGGTTATGGGTGGACTCCATGACCTTGAAGGTCTTTTCCAACCACAATGATTCTATGATTCTTCAGAGGACAGGAACAAGGCCTGTAGGAAAGGTAGTATTAAGGAAAAAAACACAACACAGCTACAGCTAGTCACAGTCAGGGTTTATTGATGGTTGGGCAGTTTGAGGGATATGCTACGCTGCCTTCAGGCAGTATATTTGGCTTTTAAGTTGTTCTAGAAGCAAATTTGAGCAAATAAACAGTCCTTTAAGCGAAATCAGACTCATTAAGCTCTAGGATGTACCCACAAGGGTTAAAACTTTAAAGCCATGCAAGCAAAATGTAAGTTCTTCATGCCTGTTAACATCCCTCTTTTCTCTGGAGCTGTATCCCCAACTATATGGGGGTTGAAAATGGCAAGTATACATTCATTTCAAGTTATACATTCAAGTTATATTCACCACACGTGGAAAATTTGGGCGTTTCTGTTGCTTGTTACATTCATCCCTTCCCCTAAGTAGTGCATTAAAAACAAATCCACATTGTAGCAAACGTATCTTCTGTATTGCACACACTGCCTTTTCAAGCTGTTATTACAGAATTCCATCTGTGAGAAAAGAAAAACTGGGAAACTCTGGTCCTAGGCTAGTTAAGAAAAGAGAGGAAAACCTAGTGGAAGGCAAACATGCCCTGGGTACTTCTCCCACTCAATATGACAACTATTGGCTACAGAAATTCATGAAACTGAAGTTGCCAATGGAAAGAAAAAAAATCAACCTTTTTCATCGTTCTTTTAAAACAAGACAAGGGATTCAGTAAATGTTTTAGTATTTAATTTTTTTTTCAGCATGAGGAAATTAGGATTTTTTTTAAATATTCAATAATCACAGCTTCTTTCTTAAGGTCTTCAGCAGCCTCTCAGTGAAGTTGCATAAAATAACATAATCAGTTACTACAAGCCTTTTCTGCATAGTTGAGTGTTTATGTATGCACTTTCTCGAAATATTCCTTGGAAGCTTCTGGACTTGGTTTGATCTGTCAAGAAAAGAAAGAACTTTTTTATTATACTCTAAGACAAATTAATCATGTATTTGACATTTTATGCAATGAAAGAAATACATAATTTATCAAAAACATTAGATTATTTCTGTTTCTCCACTTATTTGAAATGGTAAAGTGAAAGCCTGCAGGAAGCACAAGTTCCTACTTTCAAATTTTAAATATATGACACTATCCCCTGCTAAATAGCAGGGCCCTAAAGAAGTAAAAATCCAGGGACAACTGGATAATATAACTGTTTAATATAATACAAATAGACCAAATTGTTCCAACACACGTAGGCTTCAGATTTACACCACTTGAATTGATTCAGTCAAGCAGCTCACACTGAAGCTGTTCTCAGCTCTTTGGATATGGGAAGGAAGATATGGCAGTGTCTATATTTAGGAAAGTGATATTTAGCTGACACTCACTGTAGGGGAGTCTGGAGTCCAGTTTGCTGGGCAAACCTCTCCGTGTGTTTCCACGTACTGGAATGCTTTCACCAAGCGAAGGGTCTCTTCCACACTACGACCCACAGGGAGGTCATTGATACTCAGATGCTTGATGATGCCATTAGGATCGATGATGAAGAGACCTCTGTAGACAAGCAAGAATTTAGGGAATGCAAATCATGTTCCAAGGGCAAACACATGAAACTGATGCATGCATCTGTCAGGAGTAGCAATAGAGCACTTAATAGTGCTGTTAGTTTGTTAGTGCAGTGATCAAAAGCAAAACCTGTCTGTTTTTATTGTGATACTGAAAAGCACGCGGAAAGGCCATGAAATCAAGGCAGCCAGAAATGTAAATAAGGCAGAACTTCTAATTCTCCTTATATTTCAAAGCTGATAGCTGGCATCCTTCCTGTGTCTTTTTGGTTAATAAGAAAATCAGAAGTTACTGATTGAATAGTTGCTTGAACATTAAACTACTAAATTAAATCCTGTTACGTATAAACAGTCATGTAAACTGAAGACCCAGTTTTACCCTACTAACATGTCAAATTTAACTTATTTTTTCAACAAAGAAGCATCACAAGTCCCTTCCAGCAAAGAAGCTGCTCAGTAATGAAGTGGAAGAACAGGATAGAGTAACCTCTGAAGGAAAATTTTAAGCAATCCTCTCTGGACTTTTACCACTTCATCCTTAGAGAGGAACCAAATGAAACAATCCTTTTTCCCAGGAGACAAGAAGTCCTTCTCCACCAAACATCTATAACTCGAATTCTCTGAACACTTAAAGAATATAATTACTCTCATACGTTAGGGTTACAGTCACATTTTCATCTGCAGAGGTCGGGAATCAGACATCTCCAATGGACTTCTATCCAACCTCAGTATTTCTCAGGGATCACTATTTACTTTTAGTATTTCTATGGTGGGAAAGGAAGTATAAATTTCATTATTCTAGAGAGTTGTAGGATTAACTGTGGTGGCCCCCAAGGCTCTAGCTTAGAAACTTATCATTCAGTACCTCCAGGAGAAAAAAAGTGACAGAAAGGGGGAAGAGAGGGAAAACAGAAATATTAATTTTGAAAGGCTGAGAAATGATCTCACATCCTAGTCTCCTTTCCCTTGGTGTGTCACGGAGTTCTCCCATTAGCTCAGATCAGAACAGCTGACTACTTGTGCAGAGAAGGCTGCAACCATCCCAACTTCACACCAGTGGGTATGTTCCCTTTTCCCAGAATGAAACCAGGAATTCTACAGAACAAACTGACACTTTATAGTCTTCAGGAGGAGACAGCATGGCCTACGCTTTTTTAAACCACCTTGTGTTAGAACAGAGAGTAGCAGCCGTGGATTACCGTAGTGCTATGCCAGGTCCTTCGAGCAGCACACCGTAATCACGGGAGATTTGTTTCGTGAGATCTGATAGAACTGGAATATTCATATGGCCCAAGCCGCCGCTCTGGTGGAAACACAAGATACATTTTATCACCAAATGCTTTTTAAAGATTATCCTTTAGCTAGCTGGATTCAGTGTTCTTGAAAATAAACAAACAAAAAAAAACACACACGCAAGAACATTTATTCCATTTGCACTATGAAAGAAACCATACAGGACAAGCACTCAGGAATACTTGATCTATTTGGAACAGGATTTTCTTTTTTTTTTTTTTTTTTTTTTTAAATAATGAGTGTTTTCAGATAGCTTATTTTGGTGGCAAAGGACTAAAACAACGATAAAATAATACTCAGAAATATTTCCTCTGTCCCTTGCAGGAGCTTTGAATGTAAAGATTTCTATTGCATATGAAAGTGCTGAAAATGAAAGTGAGATGAACATGGTGAGGAGGGATGGGAGAACATCTATAACAGACAAAACACTGCCCACCAACACCCATACCAAATATGTCAAGATTTTTGCTATTCTTTATTTAATATTTGTGTTTTCTTTTGAACCTATTTAATATTTGTGTTTTCTTTCAACCCACTTAAATAATATTTAGTGAGTCAACTAAAATCCCTGAGTTTCGCAACATATTGGAACAGTAAGAGATAAGCTCTCTATTCTTGAAACACGACCAGGGTTTGTTAGTTTTTCTATTCCCAGCCTCAGCAGGGAATTGTTGTGTAATCTCAGTCACTTAGACCCTGATCCTGCCTGTCTGCAGCAGACTTCTCAAGCACAGGCCTTTGAAAACAGGTATCAGAGGAACCAAGGCCTTAACTTCTTGGTTTCAGATTTCCATCTGCACCACTGTGGAATTCTTTCTATTCCTTGCAAAATACTTTGCTACATGTACACGAAACAACACACGAGTGGTGTATACTTCACTGCTTTTATATGAGGCTTGAAGTCAGTCCATAATCACATTTTGGAGTTTTAAACAAAGCATGCGCAAAGTTAATTACTCTGATCATCTAATGGATTTAATGTGTCTTGGGTGAGCCAAGCTCTCCTGTGTGGTACAAAAAAAGCAGCCATGTGTTCAGAGTACCCACGTCGGACAACAACCAGCACTGCTGTTGACCACACGGTCTCGTGGCAATAACTGATCACACAGGAGCTTCTGTACCTTCCTGTGACACTTCTGATCTCCTACTACTAAACAAGCTAGTGAAGTGGTTTACATTATCACGAGTATGGATTCATATATTTTAGAAAGTAAAAGCAACTGCTCTCTAAGAGCTGGTCTTTGCTATCAGTTCTTCCTCTGAAGAAAGTTGAGGACCTAGAAGTGGAACCATTTCAGCAAATAACAGTTAATGATACAAGTGTTTTGATTTGTTCTTTTGTTTCCATTCTGCAGTTACCAATGCTGGGTGTTAGTTAGCTGATTACTAAATTGGCTGCTAATAATTTTATCTGATGCTACACACAAAGCATTAGCCGTTACAAGCACCATAGGACAGCAAGATGTTCCCTGAATATTCATCCTGGGGGATAAACATAAGTACATGATATAACCTCCAGGACCATGAAAACAGGAAAATAAAGACAAAACAAAACAAAACCAACAACATTATGGAAGAAGAGATCAGGAAAAAGACCGAGGTCAGCGCTGATTTACATCACCTTATGTTACTTGCTTAGAGTAGTTAGTGACCATCTACTTATTGAAATTACTGTTTGCATGATTGTTCATTCAAATCTTGCTTGGAGCTATTCTAAATAATAAAAAATAGAACAAACCAATAAAGAAAACCCCAAAGAGCTGCCCCAGTTCCTACCTTTCGTGGTGTATTTATCCAGGCCAGGTGACAGAAGTGAGAGTCCACAGAAACTGCAACCACCTCACAGTTCACATCGTGAAACTCGTTGGCTTTGTCACTAAAGGCTACAATTTCTGTGGGGCATACAAAGGTGCTGGGCGGGAAGAGAGAAGAAGCCGTAAAGATTCTGCACACCTTAGGGCAGACGCTTGCGCACCCGTGGGTCTAACGTGGCGCTGAGTTTTATCTCGGGCCGGGCTATCTCTGCAAACACTCGGGCTCCAGCGCACGGCCACCCAGCCCCAATACCTTATCGCTCGCGCGCTAGGAACAGCCCTGTCTGCTCCGCGGGAGCAGCCTGGCAGAGGCAGGACCACCGCTCTGGCGCAGAGGAAGGCCATGCCGCTCTGGCGAGGAAGGCCACGCTGCCGCCTTGGCGCAGAGGAAGGCCATGCCGCCTCGGTGCAGAGGAAGGCCATGCCGCCTCGGTGCGGAGGAAGGCCATGCCGCTCTGGCGAGGAAGGCCACGCTGCCGCCTTGGCGCAGAGGAAGGCCATGCCATGCCGCCGCTGCGATGACCTTCAGCCTCCCGCCACGAGCCGCGCTGTAGGGCGATGCGAGGGGGGCACTCACAAATCCAGCGGGTAGAAGAACAGAACGAGGTATCTCCCCTTGAAGTCGTCCAGGCTCAGCTCCTTGAACTCCCCCTTGACCACGGCCGTCCCCTTGAAGGAGGGCGCGGGCTGCTTGACGGCGGCCGCCGCCCGCCAGGCGCCTGCGGGGCACACGGGAGGGAAGGGTCGCGCCGCGCGTGGCGGCGCC